ATCAAACCGTGGTTTGAAGTTTTGGAGTGTAAAACCGAACCGAAACCGAACCAAACTTTTACTTTGGTTCCGTATTTAGTTTTAGGTCAAAACCGAACCTAAAGAACCAAACCCACCCCTAAATAACCTTACAATGAGTGTAGCTAGTTCTCCAAGTCATCCGTACTAAAAAGTAGTCAATTTGGGTACTATTAGCTCCACTTCTATAAGTGACAAGACGAGAGTCTCTTTTCTTGAACCAAGTGTTCATCATAGCCAACTCATATGTCGAGGAAAAATGCAGAATGTTCTTCCCCGCTTCATTTCTAGTGCCAAAATCATGTCCGCCATGGACACTCTCAAAACCATCACGACTTGGGCCCACATGCCCGTTGAGGTCGCCTCCTATGACCAGTTTCTCTCCCCTTGGCACTCGTCGCACCACTTCCTCAAGATCCTCCCAAAATTATTGAGTGATAGATGCATCCAATCCCACTTGTGGTGCATAGGCACTAACCACAAACACGATCTCTTCCCTATTATCAACTTAATGCTCATGATGCGATCGTTCTTCCTAAAGACTTCAGCCACACCGTCAACATAATCATGTGCCACCATAACGCCTACTCCATTTCTGTTCCTCTCTCTCCCCGAGTACCAAAGCTTAAAACCTCCGGGATTAATCTCACGTGCCTTTTCTCCAACCCACTTAGTTTCTTGCATGCACATTATGCTGATATCCCTCCTCTTCATAACCTCGTCTATCTCACACGATCTTCCCGTAAGAGAGCCAATATTCCATGTCCCAAAACGCAATCTAACACCCTGCCTTCTCTTCTTCACCCCACGTCGACCCCCACCATGCCCTTGCATATTTGACACCATCTCCGGGCATTGGAGTGGCGTGTCGCTTCCGGGCGACGACCTAGCAGCCTTAGCATTCTTATCACCACACCCAGGCCTATGAAGTGTAGCGCGCCCTTGCTCATTTGACACCACCCCCAGGCGAAGGGATGACACATCGCTTACGGGCGACGACCTAGCTGTAGCGATATTCATATTTCGATTCATGTCATGTGATGTGACTAAGTGATACTGTTGGCCGTCATGCGCCTACCACGACACCTTCCTCCTTTATCCTGGCTTGAGACAGGCATGATACCAAAAAAATGATCTCATGGCGGAGTTAGACTAGAAAATGTCAAACTTGAAAAAATTTAAACAAAACAAATTAGACACAAACAAACTAGACCAGAATTAGATAATAAGATAATAGTAATACACTCATAATTAATATTAACTAGATGGACTTTACTAGTTTAGACCATGCTACCTACGTCTAGGATTAAATTTCTTATTGAAAAGTTGCACGATTATTTAAACAATAATTGCATAAGGTTATTCATGTATATTTTGAAAAGTTGTTTTGATGGTAAGTGTGATGTCATAGGTGTACTATTTTTGACATTTGATGATTAAATTTTCATTTAAGACGATTGGTTCTTTCCTTATAAAATAAAGATGAGATCCTTTATTTGAACTCAATAATATGCAATACTTTGAACTTCAATATGCAGTACAAATAATGTAAAGATGCACACTGTGAACTTCAATATGCAATACAAATAATATGCAACACATTGAACTTCAATATGCAATACAAATAATATGCAACACATTGAACTTCAATATGCAATACAAATAATATGCAACACTTTGAACTTCAATATGCAATAGCAATAGTGCAATACGAATAATGTAAAGATGGACAGTTTGTAGGTTAGCCGTTAGCATGAGAGGACTAGTTTGTATGTGATCTCACCCCTATATGAATATATATATATATATATATATATATATATATATATATATATATATTAGAGATCAAATACAAATCATGCTTAATTTACTAACCTACAAACTCATCTTGACCATCCAATGAGTTGATCTAGAGGCTATAAAGGCAAGGTGACAGTTTTGTAATAAAACTCAACTCTTTTAAGATGCAACTCTTTGAACATTAATATGCAACTGCTATTTTATGGTTTGAATAATATGCAACACTTTGAACCTCAATATGCAATACAAATAATGTGAAGATGCATTGTACAAACGTTTGCACGATAATCACAATTTGCACATGATCCCCTATATGTGTATGTGCGCGCGTATAATCGATTGGTAAATGTATATGAGGATCGGAGAGATATTATTAATTATAAAGTAATTTAACAAAAATAATCAAAGTTTCATCCACTATTTTGTCATGGTTTGACAACTTTTTATTTACATTAGAAGTACAACTGGGTGAAGACTTGGAGTTAGAATTATATCTTGTTTATTTTTCGTTCCCGTAACTCTAGTTTCAATTTAATCTTCATGGTTTGACAATTTTGATTTATTTTGGACAACATTTACTCTACTTTTAGTTGTTGGGCATGTAAATCGCAATGTGCAAATGTTAAACACACATATTCAAAGATTGTTTCATACTTGAGCTCGAGTTCAAACCCAAACTTTCGAGCTAATCGAATTGTAACTTTTGAGTTGACGAACCAAATTATCGAGCCAATCGAGCCGATATTTGCGAGTCGAGCTCGAGCCCCGATTTTTTAAGCTCGTTCGAACCAATACAACATATTTCGAGCTCAAGCCTACATAGATTCGGGCTCGGCTCAACTCATTTGCACCCAGACTTTTGACCCACTTTTCATCCAGTCTTGCCTTTTGAATCCGGTGTAAGGTTCATTTATGGAACCTGGCATAGACCTATGCCTACGTTTTATCTTTATCTCTCTCCTCTTTTTCATTTTTCTCTATACACCATTTAATCCCTATATTAAATTAAAATATTTATTCTATCCCTATCCTTCTCTAATGCCACATCACTAAAATCCACCCTCCCATTGAGGATGCCTGTTATGAATGCCCTTAATAATTACTTTAACTGTAATAAAATTGTATACTACTTTGCGACAGGATCAATGTCGTGATATGATAATAATGTCCCAACATAGTACTCCCTCCGTCCCATTTTTGTTAAATACAACTTTTGTTTTGGATTCTTCCAAAAATATGATCGTTTTTTTAATTGTACTTAATTAATTTTTTACTTTCTCACCTTTTCTTTTTATCTATCATTTAATGTTTTACTATTTGTGATCATTTTTCTTTCTCACTTTTTGAAGGTTAAAATTGTAACCATTTATTTTCTTGAACACGCACCAAACTCTCACACATGTTATATTATGGGATGGAAGTATTACTTCTTTAGAGTAGTTGTAATTCATACTTTGGATTTTTTTTATCGTCAAAACAAATGACTTAAATTGATATCACATCATTCGGATAGGAGTAAAATGACAAAAGGACCACGGGCAACCGCCAGCCCTCGAACCAGACTTAAAGTCAATCACCTTCAAAAAAGCAATATAACTTGTCGATCCTATATTGCGCATAAATGAGCCAATGATGGTTAAAGCAGACCTCCCATCACCCAATCCTAATGCAAAAGTCTTAAAACAATAAAAGTAACCAACAGAAAAATAAACAGTCTCATCATGAAAAATAAATAGCAACCAAACATCAAAATTAAATTGACGCTTCCAAATCCTAAACTCTCCTACACTCCATGACGACTGTTCATGAGGGGGACGGTCCAACAATACTGTAGCTTCTTCTGCTCCTTGCATCTGGTCCAGATATGTTCCAGCCCCTAGCCCCACGCTTTGTCCATGACCTTTTGATCTCAACCATGAACGACATCCTCGAAACTTTCCACATGCTGCTAGGGGAACACACCCTTTGACCGCCATATAGGCGCTGTGATCTGCCGAAGAAGAGAGTCTCCCGAAAGGTGGACGAAAGCCGCACTTCGTTGAAGACGAAGAAAAACAACCCCTAAACCTAGAGAAGACGGGCGCCTAGAGTGAAAAGCTCTCAAAAATTGGTTATCAAAAACTATATTGTTATTTGGAAAAATATAATAACCCTATTTATGATAAGCACATTATTTTTACACCTATTCATTACAATTTGTTTTTTTTAATATACTTTATATCGTTGGTATTTTTTACCATTGAAGCTTTTTTATATGATAAAATTTACACACATTTTAATAAATCTAAAAAGCATGCCATTTGTGACATTGTTGGTGATGTTTTTTTTTCGGTTTAAATTTCTGTTTAAAATGTCAAGAGACTGATGAACCATTGAGGCGGATGTTGGAGATTGATTTTCTTTAATGTAATCAGAGTCTTGAAATTCTTTAGCCAATTTTTTGAAAAAAACAAAGAATTATCCATTTATTATTATGAGCCCGTTTGGTAGCATCAAAAAATTGACTGTTTTGGCAGATTCTGCTGAAATTTATGAAGTTTGGCTGAAGTGGCTACATTGGTTGATTCTGCTGATTTAAGAAAAGATTATTTTTAAAATATATTTTATTAATAAAACAAAGAAAAAATTATATGTAAAAATAGCTAAAATGGTTAACTTTAGACAATACAGCAAAAAAGTAACTTCAGTCTTACTTTTTATGCTTATTACACAATTCAGCACGCGAAGCAAAACTTACGTGTTTGGTGAAAAAATTAGCTGATAAACTCGATAAGTCGAAAAACAATCTTGCCAAACGGCCTCTATAAGTTACTCCGTAATAGTCTATAGATTATTAAGGAAGTTTAAAACTTAGTCCCGTTTAATTAACGGATAATAACGTTCAAATTGTGATATAGCGGTTGAGCTTCTAATTTTTAAGACCCACTATTTATTTAAACAATGAAGATACAATATGTCATCAGAATTAATAAAGCTTAGTGATTAGCATTGATTTGGAGAATTAAAACCACTCTTTTGGAGAAAGTAGGTTATGAAGAATTTCAAAATGATTCAAAAAAACAAGTAATGACAAGGGCATTATGGTCCACTAGTTGACAAGTGGACAATTTCGTAAATTCAGGCACTTGAACGCCTCCGTTTTTTTTTTCCTTTAAAGCGCTCCACTCTCTCAACAGTTTCTTCCAGTTCCACCTGCATTTGTCTTCTTATTATCGGCTCTCTTTTCCTCTGCACTTCCCGATGGTGAATGAGTTCATGGTGTGCGTGGACAGGATCATCATAGCGTCATCAGCTACTTATTGCTTCGCCGGAGATTCATCTCCGGCCAACGGCGCGGAGACCCTCTTGAGAAATGCGGCCTCAGTCGGCAGCCCGCCGGCGGAAGTGGCCGTCAACGCTTCTGGTCATGGGTTATGCAGCGGTGGTGGGTTTGCAGGTGAAGGATGCTCAAAGGGTGGTGGGGGTGCAGTGAGGGAGTGTAGGATTTGCCAAGAGGAGGATGAGGAGAAAGACATGGAAGCTCCTTGTGCCTGTAATGGAACTCTAAAGGTCTTTTCTTTCTACCTTTCGTGTTTCTTGTTTTTTGAATTTTTGAATTCTACCTCCTTGAAACACGAAAAACAGAGTATTACGTGTTTTTAGCATCATGCTTTATGTGCTTTCGTTCATTTTATGAATAAATAAATTCCTGCTATTAATTGCCCCAACCCCACTTTAAAATAAATTTCATATCATTATTCGGTTTCTCGCACTTTTAACTTTAAACATGAAAGATAATTTGAAATTTTAAATTCCTAATTTTTAAATTTTACTGGGAATTGAGTCGGGAATGCTACACCCTTTTAGGAATGCAGTTATAAAGAAATCCTTTCATGAACCGAGTAGTGTTCCTTTTTATATATTTCTCTGTATTTTCCATGGATTGTATGGGTTCTTAACTACAGAAAGTTGGTGTCTTCCCAAGCCCCCACCCCACCCCCAAAATTTAAACTTTGCTAATTTTCTTAATTCTTGAAGCCTGAAGATCATGGTGTCTTTAGATTTTTGTATTTTCCTTTTTTGACGGGAAGAATTGGAGTGGTCTTTGGCATACTCCTGAGTTTTCTGCTTCATATATATATTGATGATGTCTGCATATTAAATGCTGAAACAGTCAGCTACATTAGGGCATTAATTGTTCTTTCTGGGAGGATACTGTCCATATTATATTATTAATGATTTTTCCATTTTTTTGTTTTAGAAATTCAATACATATTCTCTACTTATGTCTTAGATTTGTCCAATAAAGTTTCCCAGATGAAATATTCTTGTGCTAGAAGAAGAATTAAGATTTACAAGCATTTAATGTTGAATTTTTTGGAGATAGAAAGGTCATTTTCAATATCCTTTAATATGTGTGCGTATATCTAAAACTTTGATTAATATGAAAGGGAGGTGTAAACGCATTCGAATTATGTGTGGTCAACAAACTTTGTTAGAGTTGTCATTTTTTGAAGGTCTTCACCAAAGCGGTCTTGAAATTGACTTTTGTGCTCCTTTTGCAGTTAGGGTTGGTTCTTTTGAGCTCTGCTTATACAAAAGCAAATCTTTAATTAAGTATGAAAAACTGATGCTTTTGATTTGGTTATGCGTGTAGTTTGCTCATAGGAAGTGTATTCAGCGATGGTGCAATAAAAAAGGTGACATCACTTGCGAAATCTGTAATCAGGTGTTTAAACCTCATCAATTTGATATTGAAACCTTGCTTCCTTCCTTAACCAAATATTAGCATCAATGTGATTTGTGTCTTTTAAATAGGTTTTCTCACCAAACTACTCTCTCCCACCAGCAAGAGGCAATCCTGACATTTTTGCCATCGATATCGGGTACCTGTATTCTTTTATCATCTGATTAAGCTGTTTACTTTACTAAACTATGCTAGTAATGTTTCTTTTGACACTAAAGCGTGTGGCTTGTGGCATGTTTGACCCGATGGTTTTGGGGGGGAGGGGAGGGAATGGAATGGGTGATTTTTTTAAAATAATGTCTACTTTTATGTGGTTGGATATAAAGTGATGATAAAAAATACTATCTATCTCTTAAAACAACTTCTCACTTTCTTTATTTTGACTTCCAAAATGAAGTTCTCATTCCTAAAAAGAAAAAATCAAATAGAGAAATGTCACCATTACCCCTTACTTTTGCTCAATCTTAAATAAAGTAATGGTGTTCGTGGAAAGTCAATAAAAAATTATTTTTACATAAAACTGTGTAGGTCAAATTAGGAACTTATTTTTTGGATGGTCTAACTAAGAACATATTTGTTCTAGCATAAAACAATACAATAACAACATCCAAACATTAATTCCAAAAGAGTTTTGGGTCAGGCCAACATGAACCTTCATATGACACCGGAGTTAAAATTAATAAATTAGTATAAGCAAAAGCCACCACCTCTTTTCTCCAAAGTTCCTAAATGCCTTTAATCTCTTATAATGATATGAACTATTGTATGTGGTTGTGCGCTGATGTCATCTCTCTATCAAATGAGTAAATCAGGGGCATAGCTAGGGCAATGGGCCGGTACAAGCATTTTTTTGATATATTTTTAACATGATTTTTTTTATACTAATAATTAAGCCATTTTTAAAATTTGAAGTGGATCAGGGACTAGGTTGCCCCCCTAGCTCCCCCAGTGTGTGATGTAAATGAGACGATATGAATGTTAGGAATGTAAGACTGTAAGAGAATAAGTGTAGTGGAAGAGTAATTTTTGTCAAGTCCATCGGGATGTCCAAGTAAATGTTGTAGTGGACTGTCCAAGTGTTTGTGTCTAACATGGTTCTTGGTCAAACAAAAGCAAGAAAAAATGAAAGGGAAAACAAGGAGGTAAGGGTCAGATTGGTCCTCGAAGTTGAGCATAAAAAGGGTCAAGTAAGTCCTTATATAGGAGGTTCTGTCCGGCCGTCACCATTCGGGGTGGTTCCCGGTGGAATTTTTTGATGAATTTTTTTGAGCATCTTATTCATTAAGTCTAGTTTACTCATACCAAATTTCAGCTAAAACTTCAATCGGGAAGGCATTCAAATGAAGTCTTGAATATAACTGCACAGTTAAAAGCGCAGTACCTTCAAGAATTCATTTGATTGAATGCCTTCCCGATTGAAGTTTTAGCTTAAATTTGGTATGAGTAAACTAGACTTAATGAATAAGATGTTAAAAAAATTTATCAAAAAATTCCACCGGAAACCTCTCCAAATGGCGACGGTCGGACAGTAAGGACTTATTTGACCCTTTTTATGGAATTTCGAGGACCAATTTGACCCTTACCTCGAAAAACAAGTCTGCAATACAAAACAACAAGTAAAGAGATAACCTAGGCTAGTGGGTCTTCTTAGGCTTATAGGCTACAAAACAGCCTTGGGCTCCAAGATTATTATTTGTTAGTAGATGCACCATTGTTGTCATACCTCTCCAGATCTGAAGTATATTAAGAGCTGATTTGGCAATACTGAAGTTAATTGAATTTAGTGATATTCTTGCTGGGCTTAGTGAATAGTGAAAGAATTATATTTAGAATATGTTATATTAATAATCTAAAGAAAAACAATATGGTAAGAAAAACTAAAATGGCCCTATTTTGACCTTGCTTATTTTGTCCTTAAACCAATTCAGTGTGTCAAATAGCCAAAGTAGTATATACAAGTTAGACTGATAAGCTAAAAACAAGGTAAACCAAACTGGCATTTAATATGCCTCCTCCTCCTCCTCCTCCTCCTCCTATTCCTTTTGATAATTCCGGAATTCCCTTTGCACAAAATCCTTATTATTTTTATGCTTCTGTTCCACAAAAGAGTCTTCTACCTTCAATTTTTTTGCCACAAATGAGCCCTATTTAATAAAAATTTTCTTCTTTTTCATCTTCTTCTTCTACCAATTTTGATAATTCAGGAATTCCCTTTGCACTCCTTATTATTTTTATGTTTCTGTTGCAAAGAAGAGTCTACATTCATTTTTTCGCCAAAAACGAGTTCTGTTTAATAAAACTAAGCTAGTTTTCATGATGTTTTCCTTAAAAGATCAATGATACACATTAGTTTGTAGTGTGCGTGTCTGAGTATGTATGTATAGAATACAGAAGTGCAAACAAGGTTACAGTTAAAGGGCAAATCATGATTAAGCGTTTTCTTATCTAGATAAACCATAAGGTACATTAATATTTTTTTTTTGTTTCTATTTAATTAAAATGGCTATTAATTGCTTCAACCACAACTAAATTTATCATTCCACACAATATTTTTGGGATCCCTTTGGTATGCTGTTTTAACAGCTTAATTTTGCTTTATCCATTATCAGCCAAGCTTGGGGTCCAGGATTCGACATTCAGGACCCACGTTTCTTGGCCTTTGCCACTGCTGAGCATCAACTCCTCCAATCTCAATATGATGATGACTATGCCACCATTGCTAGCAGCAGCAGCCTGGCATGCTTACGCTTTGTTGCTATAGTTGTAAGCTCAAAAAACGGAATATTGTTGAATGAGTTTACTCTTTTCTCTAGTGCATATAGTAGTTAGTTAGTTACTATGCTGAGACTTGGAAATGAGGCTTTTCAGTATGTGATATGACACAGTTGATGGTACTCCTGTTACTACGGCAGATGCTGATCGTTGCAGCGGACTTTCAGATGGTTAGAGAATCACCATCGTCTTTTATAAATGTTAGTGCACAGTAAAGCTTCTTTCTTTTGGAGGGTAACTAGAAATTATCCCTTTAATTGTTGAGGCTCTTTTTTATTCCAGGAAAATAACTTGCAGTGTCAAATGTTTTCCTAGACTTCTTTTGGGATTTTTTTTCCCACAGCTAAACACAGGGCCTAAGCCTAAAACCATTTCCTAAAAAGTTCTGAATACAATAATCCAGGAAAATGTACTAGTGAAAACAAATGGAGCCCGAAAAGCTCACGTTTGTTTGCATAAGATAAGAGCAATATTATAACCCCATATATAATGCTTTTGGTGAATAACAGTTCCAAATATCACTTCTGCAACTGGCTGGCTTTCTTCTCCCCTGTTACGTGATGGTACGGTCGTGGTACGTTGTGCTTTGCCGAAGACGAAGGCAGGTTGGTTACAATTTGTGAGCTAGCTTCATTCCTCAGTTCATTTCATGATTTAATGTTTTATTCCTCATTTCATTTCATATTTTAATGTTTTATTTGCTGTGCCTTATTTTTTAATTAAAAACTGTATACATTTTAGGCTTAAATTTTTTCTTTTTTCTTTTCAGGGTTACTAAAGTTGGTCCAATCGAGGCGGGAATCTTAGTGATCTATCATTTTATTGGAGGGCTCTATATAGAATATAGAGTTACATAGATGAACTCTGAATCAAATGTAAATGTGAAAAAAATGAGTTCATCATGGTAGTGTGACTACTTTGTTCTTGTTCAACATAAAATAATGCTTGCAATTGTTGGTCAATGAAATTCCTAGTTATTATTTTAGCCGGTTCACAAGAGTTATTCGGGAAAGATGTGAATAAAGAAATATTAGGAAGTATGTTACTATGAAGTAGTTGCATATTTATAATTAAAATAAATGTTGCTTATAAAAATGTGATCTCTCAAATGTGGTGATTATTGTAATATCTATAATTATAATAACTTATACGGAATACGTAGTAATTGACTATGTGATCATGACATTGTACTATACTAACTTTTACGGTAACTATTACTCTTAAATCAAATAACAGAGAAGAGCATAGAAAAAAAATGAAGGCAACCTTGCAACAAACTTTAGCAACAAACTTTGGTCACCTTCAACTTTCAAGTAGCAAATCAAATCCCCTAAACAGATGAGGAACTTCAGCTATAGACATTCACCACAACCCCATGTCTCCATGGAAACTCTCGAAGAGGTGACCAAAGTAAAATATCACATAAAACCTATACACATATTTAAGAAACTTGGCCATATATTAATTTAAATTATGAAACTTATAGGGAAATACTCTTTGTTAAAATTACTTTAATAAAAACATAAATGTTATAAAATTTTCACAAATAGAAAAACTAAAAGCATTGTTCAAAGCATATGATCATTGCACCACTTGATGTTGATTGATAACTCTAATATAAACTTTTAAATTGACCATTGTATAACTTCTTGGATAGGGGTGGATTCGGTTCAGGCCACCCGGCCCGTGACCCGGCCCTACCCGCTACTGTGTGGGCCCGGAACCGGCCCGGTCGGGTGGTCCGGGATCGGGCGTAGACCCGAACCGGTGGGCTAAGCGGTTGCGGGCTCGGTTCCTATAAAACGTGACCTGGCCGGGTCGGGTCCGGGTCCGGGTCACAACGGTTACATTTTATTTAATTTTTTGTTTGCGCCAAATGACTGTTGGGGTGGGCTGCAGGGGGGTCTAGGCCGCTGGGCGGTTTGGGGGGTGGGGGTGGGGTGGGGTAAAAATAACCTATAAATACTTCTAATTTTAAACATTTTTCCATATCTCTTCTACAACTCTTCCTAAATCCTACTCTTAACTCTCTACTCTCTAATTATCTTCGTCTTCTCAAATTCTCTTATTCTCCAATATATTATATTTATATATCTACTTTATATTAATTATCTACTTATAATTTATAAATACATACATTATATTACTTATATTTCTTATCTATATATATATTACTTATACATTTATTATAGGAATTTTATCAATTCAGGACCCGAAAGATAGATTAATTATCAATTCAGGACCCGAAAGATGAAACGTAATCGGTATAGGACCCGAATGATGGAAAAGTATCAATTTAGGACCTAATGTTTCATAGGTTTAGATTTATTTAATTTTTTATTAATTCCATTACTAATTTTTGATAAACTTTTCTTCACAAAAGTTTATTGGTTTAATAAAACGAAATAATATTTAATATTTTTTAATAAAAAAATTATGACAACTTAGGCCCTAGATTAATAGTTTTCAATCATTCAGGTCCTAAATTGATAGTTTTTCATCATTCGGGTCCTATATCGATGCATTTTATCTTTCAGGTCCCGAATTGATAATTAATTTATCTTTCGGGTCCTGAATTGATAAAATTTCTTAATTATATCTATTAATATAGTTGGAATTATATCTAATTAATTTGAAGTACGAAATCATTCTATTATTTACACTTGTTTGATTTTGGGAGGATACTTATCATAATTTACATTATTTGGGTCTGACTGTACATTATATTGATAATGATTGGCATATGCATATACGTGTTCTTGTTTTTCGTGAATTTAATGATCGTCACACCGCTGAACATATTTATATTTTGATTGAGCGTATTTTAATTGAGTATAATTTAATTGATAAGGTGTTTGCTATTGGTTTTGATAATGCTACTAATAATATTGGTGCTATTACTAGATTGCGTGAATTGTGTGGTTCTACTTCTTTGATGAGTAGATTTTTTCATCAACGATGTGCATGTAATGTTATAAATTTGTGTGTGCAAGATGGTCTAAAAGCGTTGGGAGCATCTTTGGAGGTAGTCAATGGGGGGATTAGACGTATTTGGGGTAATGGACAACTTAGAAAAAAATGGCATGATTATTTGATAGAAAGAGGTGAGAAATATGTGGCTTTTCCTAAAGATTTGTCTATTCGTTGGAATAGTACTTATAAGTTAATTGCAGTTCTTCTTAGATATAAACAACATTTTCCTGCTTTTATGAAACAATATGATAACTATATTATAAACTCGGCTGAAATCGACACCTGTGAAAAAATTTGTAATGCTTTGATATATTTTAATAATGCAACTGAAACTTTTAGTCATGTTTATAAACCTACCTCAAACCAAATTATTCGTGAAGCTGTTAATCTCGCCGGTGCTTTTTCAAATTTTGAGAATGCTGATTATGTGAGTTATTTTGCTAGTTTTATGAAGGAAAAGTTTTTAAAATATTATTCACATATTCCGCATATTTATGGTATTGCATTTGTTCTCGAACATCGTTTTAGACTTAGTTCTTTAGAAGAATGTTTGAATTATTATTATGCTGCTCTTTTTGGTCCAATGCCAATGTATGAGGACAACCCAATTGATCCGAAAAAAGAATACAACGAGCTTAGTGATATATTTTATGCATTATTTAATGAGTTTCATGCACAATATGGCAACGTGCCCCCTCCCCCAACACAAACATCTTCATCTAAAGGAAAATCAATTTTGAAAATCTACATTTGCCAATCTTATTAAAAAACGAAATCAACTCCCGCTACTCAACAAAGCACAATTAATGAAATTTCTTTGTATTTAACATATGATGTTGATTTTGAAGAAGATGATGATTTTGACGCTCTAAACTGGTGGAAGGGAAAAGAAAGAATGTTCCCGGTTTTAGCAAAGATGGCTAAGCAAGTGCTATCAATGCCGGTTTCAACAGTTGCCGTGGAACAATAATTTAGTTCGGCCGGCAATGTCCTAACGCAATGTAGAACGAGGTTGAGCGCAGAATCTCTTGAGATGCTTATATGCTACCACGATTGGTTGAAGGCGGCACGTAGAGCTCAAGAAATTGACATCACCCCATCCTAACACTTTATGGATGAATCTACAACCGCGGGTGGCTCTACCTATGTCGGAGATTCAGATTGATTAGTATTTCATGTTTTAATTTTACATTCAATTCTCAATTGTAATTTGTAAACTTGTAGTTCACATTTCAAATAAATATACGTTATTTTTTTATATGTAGCACTTCTCAAATTAATTAATATTACATTATGTAATTTATTTAAAAATTCAAAGTAAAATAAACAAATAAAATTTGAAATCAAAGGACAAAGGCTCCTCAAGGCCCCAATTCCCCCCCAAACGGCTATTGCCGTTGGGTGCTTGAATCAAGGGTGTCCTGGGGGTGGGGGTGGAGTGGGGGTGGGGTACAAAAAATTCTATAAATACTCTTATTTTCTAACATTTTTATACACATCTTCTCCAACATCCAATCTCTAATCTCCATTCTCCATCTTCATCTCCATCTATTGTAGAATTATTATATCTACCATTTTAAAGATGGAAAGTCAAAATGCCGTTATACGGTATAATTTTGATAAGCAGAAGGACCCGAGGACCGGGATGTGGTACGCAACTTGCAAATGGTGCGGGAAAAAGTGTAGCATGGGGGTTTCACGCGGATACGGGATGACAATGAAGCATATGAAGTCATGTGACAAAGCCAAAGGACCGGGGGTGCGGGAAGTTCCGATTGATTACAAAATGTATTTCATATTGTATTTTTTTGTTAATTGTCAAATGTAATTCATATTTCATTTCAAATAAATGCACTTGAAGTTTGTTTTTAATACTTGTATAAAACTATAAGTATAAATTATAAAAAAAATTGGATTTAACCAGCCCAGTCCGGCCCGACGGGTGGCCCGGCTCGAACCGGATCCGTCCAGACCTTGGAGGCTAATATTAGAGTTAATTAAAACAATGTAACACTAATCATTCGCATAATTAACAACAAATTTTAACATCCCTCTCGAAAATAAAATCATCTTTTCTTAAATGACAAGATAAAGAATTAAAGAAAATATAGTAGTCGGGATTATCTCGTTGTGAAATGGAAATTAATATGATCAGTGAGAGAGCAAAAAAACAAACAAAAAATAAACATAAATTATATGGATGAAAAATAATGTGTAGGGTCTTTATAAAACAAAAACACTATACACTATATTCACACGGATTACAAAATATTTACGCCTATACTCTATTGGTGTAGGAATGATACACACAACTAGAGTGGCATTCAAAGTATTCATATGAAGACTCAAAATGTAAATTTGAAGTATAAAAATAAATGTGCACAATTGCTGTAATAATTTATGTAGTTTAATTGTTTACACACACACATATAGTATATCTTGAGTTTAACTTCATTTGCCTGTTTTATTATTTCTGGGCCAAGCACGACTCTATATTTTTATAGGAACTAGAAATCGAAGAGTTAACAATGACTAGGAACTGAACCGTTAACATCTAATGACTCATTTGTAAGAACTAAACCGAATCAGGTTATAAAGATTCGATTTCAACTGATCCGGTTCCAATATCTCTTACCTAGCTCATATTGTTATTCTCCCAAACATAACACATTTTCAGCTTTATCTGATTTCTCTATAGAACCTCGCTACCCTGGGTTCCAAAGTTCAAAAGCAAGAATGGTGAATCATAATTATACTTGTACTACTTTATTATGGATAGGGGAGAGCACGGGTCGGGTCTGCGGACATCAAACCCGTTTGGGTCTACTTGAACCATACCCTCGCAGTTTGGATATCGGCCTTTTCGGATATTAGAAAGTTGGATAATTTCGGATATCGGTAGGTGCGGTCCTGACAAATCGGAGGCCCTGTTCAAAATAAAAATTATAGGCCCTAATATTTAATATAACTAAGTACTAATAATAATAAAATAAAAGGTAATCTTGAAAGCATCGTTTACTTCTAAAGCCAATTAGTTTAGTCTCTTTTGTTATAATTTTTTCCAAAGGCTCTTTTCTTAGATAGAATCAACTCTTAGATTATTTTTTTCTTATTACTTCTTGCATATCCGGAATCATATTTTCTGTTTCTAGAAGGCATTATAAATTTCTAACCTACCTATAATTTACTCCGTATAA